CACTGCAAAAAACTTTGATTATTAATGGTGCTACTTCACTGTAGCATTATGTCAATTCTTTTAACTACATTATACAAATCTTTTATTTCTTCACTGTATAGAATTAACAAGCTATTTCACTATGATCAGTTTCTTGAATCTTATCTTTCTTGCAGTTAGGGCTTTTGTCTCTTTCTGAATCTGAATGTACTATGTGGGAGATCATAACTAACGCCCCTTCCCTATGTTCCAGGGAGCAGAACAACCCTGGGCCCCGCTGGTAGCTGCTTCCGTTTGGGAGGACTGGGAGGGTCTGAGGCGGAGCCCGCTGCGTTGCTGGTCGCTGGACTTTCCCTGCGTGGCCCAGGAGTACAGAACACAAGGCGTTGTCAGCACACACAGGGGGTCCTCTACGGGGGTCGTTTGATGTTACGTGAATCTGGGTGTTTGCAAACACAGAAGAACCCACAATTCTGTCAATGCTCTTCTCTCCTTCGCCCCAGTTGCTGGGACACCTGAAGACACGTTTCTGCCCAAAGCCAGGACGATGAAGAACCTGGTGGGTGCTGTGCTCCGTGCTCATCTAATCTGCAACTTTAATCTGCCCCAACCTCCTTTGCTGTGGCACTGGGGACTGAGCCCAGGGCCTCTGCTGAGCTGCATCCCCAGGCCTCTCTTTGGGACAGAGTCTTACCAGGTCAGTTCGTTGCCCAGGCTGGGCTCCAGCTTGGCGACCCTCCTGCCCCAGCCTCCTCCACTGGATTGTTTGCTTCCAGCAGCGGCCAGGTTTGCAGCCACGGGGAGAGATGGCAGGCACTGATGTGGAAGGCCCTCATCCACACTTCCCAATTGCCTAGGGCCTTTCTGAATTAGCTCATGATTATCTATCCCTAAAGACACTTTCCACAGTTGCTTTTTAACCCCCTCAAAGACTCCAAACACCTGGCGCCTATTGGGAAAAACAAACCTTCCCACCACTCAGCTGAATTCTCAGTCTTCTCCTCGCAACTCCTCAACCTGGTCATCTTAGAAGTTACGGCATTAGCTACGCATCTAGCATGTGTCCCTCAGAAACCTCTGGTGCCACACGGGGAGCAGGGGACAGCCTTTGAGGGGTCTGTGGCCAGTCCTTGTGCTGCCCTCAGCATGAAAGAATAACTTGGCAGAGCCAACAGATCCGAGTCCATTCCCTGCATTTTCTGTGTCTTGGATCAGATGTCTGGGCTCTACTTGTTTTCCCCATTGAAACCTAGCTCCCCACCGGTCTGACTTCCAGGAGCCAGTTTGTGTCTCTCCAGCCACAGATTTAAAACCTACTGGCGGAGTGTTTCCTCTGAGGAGTCAATGCTCCGGCAGTTCTAAATGTGGTCTCTAAAGAAAAGGGGAAGTTTTCAAACCAAGTAGATTTTTTTTTTCCCACCAAAGTAGACTTACATCTTATTCTGACTCCAAAACATCTCTCTACAACTCTTCTACAAGGCCTTAATCTCCAGCCAGGAATTGCCCATCCTTCTTTCTACTGGGTCTCGGGATCCTGCCCTCATCCCGGCAGACTTCCATCACCTCCTTCCTTTCTGCCCCAATCCCCAAGGGGCTGCATGTAGCTGAGATGCTGCCAACCAGCCTCCTCCTGCAGGGGCATCGAGCCACGAACAGAAGAAGTGGTCTGTGGTCACAACTCCTACGACAGCCAGCTTCCAGTCAGGCTAGGAGGCCCTGGCAAGCAGGGTTCTGTCCCAGGCAATGATCTGCCTTCTCGCTGTCCTGATAAATTCACTTTCTGCACAATACAGCTATGCTTCCTGTCGCAAAACCAACACCAGAAGGCCAGTCCACAGGTGCTCTTTTCTAGGTGTGTCATGCTCTCTTGAAATGCCTTAAATTTATTTTCCTCATTTGTGTTTTGCACTTGCAAATTTTCAATTTTTGCTTTGGTTACCCTTATTCCACAGTATCATTTCCTAAGAATTGTTCTAGGAAATTCCAAATCAGTGCTAGCAGATGTTACATTTTTAAAAACAGGGAAATTATAGTTAGTTACATGTGGAAAACATAAGGGTAAAGTCAAATTAGTTTCTTTTTCTGTCCATTGTGAATTTCCAAGGAAGAATACAGGACCTAACTTCTTCCCAAATTCGTTTTAGTGTACGGAGGGACAGGGCAGTCCCACCACACCAGGAGGGGCAGATCTGGGTAACGGCACTTCCTGTCTTCAATGTGGGCTGGCTTTCATTGCCTTGGAGCTTACTGCAGGGCAGTCAACACTGTCTTCTGTTCTAAACTCCAATCCTTCCTATTTAATGTTCTCCTCATCTCCAGTCTGTCCGTCTGTAATTCTGGCAGTTGCTAGTTTCCTACCGACTCTGAAAATCCCAAGGCTTGACTTCATGGCACTACTATGGATCTTCTCACTGAGCTCGGGCACTTACACTGCTGAACGTGTGCCTGTAATCAGGCTTCACCACACGTTTCACGTCTGTACCGTTCTTTTGGTAGACGGGCATTTCTGGTACTCCTGATGACTGCTCGGTGTTTGCAACTGTAACTCTAGCACAAATCAACAGTGCCACCCCTCTTGCTCCTGTAATGCAACTGTGAGGATTCTGAGGCTGTACCAGTGTGGGCTCCACCCTCCCGAGGGTGGGTCCTACAATGAACTTAAAATACTCCTGAGCCTGAGTCGTGAAATCAGAATGTAAAATTATAGTACTTCAGTAACTCTTCTATAAAGTAATTTAGGAAGACAAATTTTTCCACATTAGTTTAGTAAATTCTTTGATCGACATATAGTAATATGGAGATGGCTGGGATTTAGCTCAGTGGTTCCACCGCCTGCCTCAAAAGCTCAAGGTCCTAAGTTCGATCCCCGGTACCAAAAAAAAAAAAAAATATGTGGAGAACTTTATTAACTGTATGAATGCAGTGAGAAGTGAAAAGCAATATTCAGTCACAAGCTCCGCAGGAGAAAAGGGAGGCATATGTTAGGACGACCAAGTGCCAACCTTGTCTCACCTGGCAGCGCTACTTTAGAGAGTAAATGTTTATTGACTTCCTATAGCTACGTTATTCAAAATATAAGAAGACTGCAAACAACCTTAATGTTTAATATTTAAGGACTGTGAAACAAAACATGCTAAGAAGATGACTATGTATGGGCTAAAATACAAATGTATTCTATGGAAACATATGAAAGAGAATACTGTAAATACCTTTTTCATATATTTTTTCTATATTTAAAATAGAGAAAATCTATAATAGGGCCAGGGATTTAGCTCAGTGGCATAGAGCCTGCCTGGCAAGCAGGAGGTCCTGAGTTCGATCCTCAGTACCAAAAAAAAGAAAATCTATAATAAAACAATGTTTACAGAGTGCTAAGGGTAAAGCAGATACATTAAATGGATAGCTACCTGGCATGAAGTGTTCTTTGTTGCCCTTTGTTTATTAAAGTTAAATACAGAATTAAAAATATCTTATAAAGTCTTAGGCAAATTATTCTATCCATAGGCAAAAATATAATGTCTGTGGGCATTATATCTAAATATATATTGTTAAATACACATACAAATCAGAACATATATGTATATAAAGTTAATACACTGTTACGAAAAACTATGCTAACTGAATATGATGCATATTTAGAAGAAATACATGTTTGTTTCTTTTCATGGCTCCACTGTCCTAATGGCGCCCAGGCATAGAAGGGTGCAGCCCTTACTCACTCCGGAGGGTCACCCTCATCTGAGAGTTACGAAGACAAACCACGGTCACCCAGCTGCTGTGTCCCAGGGACAGCCTCCGGGCTCTGGGTTCTCGGCACTGCTTAACTAGAGGACACTATGAATTCCAAGCTTGCCTGTGAATACCGAGTCCATACTCTCATGCCCGGGAACGGTCACTGCACTGCATGAGTAAAGTTACTTAGGGACAGTGGAGGGAGCAGGAGGAGCACAAGGTCCTGGGGTCTCGGGACCCTGCCCGGAAGCTGACAAAGGCCGTGGTGAACAGAGGCCACACGTAAGGCAGGAGTCCGAGGGACGAGGAAGCTGTCTCTACTTGGAAAGGGAACACATTTGAAAGAGGGAAAAGGTAGGACATGCAGTCTTGTGGTGATTAGCAAAGTACCCTGAAGATGGGGACAAAGCCAAGCGCCTTTCCTCATTAAACTTTTATGGCTCTGCTTAAATCTGCTGGAAGCATAGAAACACATGAAATGCGACCCTGACTGAGACCCGCTCTTCCCTAGCAGGGATGCAGGGCCAGCACGGAGTGGACTGCCTGCCACTGGAACACACGATGGCTTTCCTGGATGTCAGCGTGCAGCGCTGCAGACACTACAGGTGAGGTCCACAGCAGCGACTCTTAGTGGACCCTTAACCGAACTCAGAAAGCTGCCAAAGCCTCTCAGGAAAACAGCAGCAGTGCCCTTTTCAGCATGATACAAAAATCCTTTCTTAACATCAATAAAAGGCAGCTGAATTAAAAATTCCTGCTTGCTCCAAGCAACAGGTAATTAGCTGCGTGTCCAGCCAGGAGGAGCTGCAATGCATTGACACAGGGACCCTGGGCTACAGGACGTTCCCTGGAGGCTGAGTCTTGCCCCTGGATTTCATTAGATTTTTATATCTTATTGCCATGCTTTCTGCATTCTAAGAAGTTTCTATTAAGCTAGCATTAAGCTAACATGAAAATAATTTTCAAAGAAAAATATCACCCACAAGCCTGCCCGACACTAAAGCTCTTGAATCTGTCGGCCAGCTCACGTACCTCGGAGCCATAATCACACTGGACAGAACCTGAGCCAGGCTCTTTGAAAGGCTTCACTTGACAATGTGTTCTGCCAGACTTTCTCAGCTTGCTCATTTAATTAGCATGTGTTATGAGAAATGCAATGTAAGCTACAGGTCTATTAAAATGTGAAAATAATAGATTCTTCCTAAATATATACCACAAAAAGCATGTTACAAAAAGTATAGTTTTTAGACACTTTATAATTCACACATGTATAGTGTGTTTCATCTTACCTCTTCTCCAGACAGATAGTAGGCTGATAGTAGTCCACCAACAAAGCGTATATTTACTTCAAAAACAGAAACCTCAGCATTCTGTGGAGACAAAAGGCAAGAGGTTCAAAGACTCTGCACAGAATTTAGAAAACCATCACTGTGATGCCAAATATGTAACATCTGCTCAAATCCTACATGCTTGCCCAAGGAATTTACACGCAAGGGGGAGAATTCTCTTTTAATGGTGTCAAAATATACTCCTGTGGATAGGAACAATTTTGGCTCTTAGAAATTACAAAGTACTTATAAAACAAGGCTCTTTCTTCCTTGTATTCAGCAGAGATACAATACCTGGCACTATTTGTGCACATGGGTAGGACCAGGGTGCTTTTTCTATTCTGCGTCCCCCTTGGTCTTACGCTTTGGTGTGCTCTTTCCTCTTGAATGGCTGGCTGGACTGTCCTGAGCCTAGCAATCTCTTCCTATTCTGTTACGGCAGCACAGACAGAAATCAAAAGGGATCTACAGTCAGAACCCTCAGGTTCTTGTCTTCCATCTTTCTGCCTGCGACTTGGGATGGCCACATCTCTCCGAGATCACACTTTGTCTTTGAATAGGGAGCTGATCATAGTAATGTATGCTGCATCTGCCTGCCACCGCTCTTATTTATTCCATACTAATAGTTTGCTCTTACTATTACTCACAATGTGACTATGTCTTTTGCTCCGCATACTGACCTTATGGATTAATCACTACTCTCACGACCCTTTCAGAAATGGAGAAACTGAGACTGAGTGGGTAATGTGGTTTTCTGAAGCTCAGACGATGAACAAGTTACATAACCGGGGTTTGAATCTGAGTCCTCTGATTTCTGGTGCTGAGTCCTGACACCTCGCAAGCTGAGCACCGTGCCTTTTCATTAGTAGTCAAAGAACTGTGGCATGTATCTGGCAATTATTGGCCGTACTTCTCTTTTTGTATAATACTGACTACTAAGCCGACCTGAATGCACTGTGGCTGGGTACTTAGCACAACTTGCCTACAGTAGGTGCCAGGCGCACTTCAAGCCTTAGCTAACATCTCTCGTGCTCACAGCATCTACTCGGTGACTGTAATTCTGCTCACCACCAAGTCACGAGGGATAACACGACAAGCACAAGGGATAACAGAACCTTAACATACAGTCAATTCCTGGCAGAGAACCTGCTCCAAGTCATCCAAGATACTATTTTATTGAGGAAATATTTATTAAGAAATTACTATGTGCCAGGCCTGTCTCAGGACACAGGGAGACAGCAGTGAAGGCTGAAGAGGTCCTCAAACTCAGTGGGTCTACGTTTTACTGGGAGAAAACATTTTCAGAAAATATAGGCGACAGCCATTTTATTCTCACGTGCTCTCCATAAAAGGTGTATGGATTGCACAATTAAAGCTAAATAACTGCTTAAGTCAAAAAATGTTTAAAAACTTCCTGCAAAGACAAGAGTATGAAAACAAGTTAGGAGAGATTATTTTTGGTGAAAGTTAGGTAAAAGCATCCTAAAATAAGACTATTTGGTGACTTTCTTTAAGTGTACTTCACAATTTGTAATATTTACCTGATGTACTTTGATTAACATCACTCTATCTAGGTCCAATTTGTCTCTGAAGAATATCACCCTGAATAAGGATTATGGAAATGTTGGTAAAAGCTTTAATAGTCTACAAAATTACCAGTAAGGGGCCAGGGATTTAGCTCAGTGGCGCTGCACCTGCCTCCAAACCACAAGGTCCTGAGTTTGATTCCCGGGACCAAAAAGAAAAAAATTACCAAAAGAATCCATTCACTTGGCTTGGTTTGCACAACTGTTATTCTTACACCTAAGAGGAATAATGTTTAATAGTAAGGTCTAATGAATTTAAACTTTCAAACGATTTCCCTCTTGATTTGTACTTGTATTTTTCAGGTTTTCTTGTTTTACTTTTTGAGACAGGGTCTCCCTATGTAGTCCAGGCTGGCATCAAACTCATGATGACCCTCCTGCCTCAGCCTCCTGAATGCTGGGATGACAGGCATGGGCCACCACGCCCAGCTTGTGTTTTGGTTTTTAAACCTGAGAACAGGCCCCACTTTTCTTCTACTGAAGCCTGTGAAGAGGATTTTATGTTCTTATTTCCGCTACAGGTTCAGTACGTATGCATCCTCTCTCTGCCGACATAATTCTGGATCACCAGGGCCTTTCTCAGACATCTGACAGAGATTACACAAGGCAGAGGACCTAGCCACGCCCAGCTGCACATCCGCCACCTGTCCGGAGCAGTTCCCAAGTGGCTATCGACCCAGCTCTGCAGTGGTCTCAGCCCTAAACTGCCCTTGTGGCGCTGGTATGGAGAGCACTGATGGCTGACCTTAAGGGCCGGGTCAGGGCAGGTCTCGGGCTGCGGGCCTCACGCTCTGATGGCCAGGCAAACCCGCAACAGGGCAGGGCTGGCCTGTCGCTGAATGCCGCCTCACCGCCATCCCGTGTGGAAGCTAGCAGGACCCTTGACCTCCCAACATGCAGCTTTCTCCCCTTTCCCCCAAAGTTAAGCTGGAAACCTTAATTTGGGCTCTTCAACATTCTAGGCTGCACTGTACATTAAATTAGACACCAGCTCACATGAAAACGACTAAGAATGCACAAATTCTCCCGCTGCCATACACTGGGAGCAGATGATGTCAGAAGACTCGGGTGGAGGCCGGGTCAGGGAGCTGCCTCGGTCCTGATCAGGGCACAGCACGCTCTGCTAGCCTCTGCACTCAGCATCCCGGGAACCTCCAGAAGCCGCCCCTCTTCCCCGGCCCTCCTCGGCTGAGGTACCGCCACGGCCAAAAGTCTTCTTTTCAAGTTTAGCACCTCAACCAGCTTCCCTCTGAGCGCAATAAACTTTATAAGATACCTGGATTTTCAAAAGTGAATCTCCATGGTACGAGCTGTTAGGCTACTCTTACAAACTTCTGGTTTCAATTTCCATGAAAATTATCAGAGTACATTTAAGACAGTATCTGCCTCCTATTGACATTTGTGCAGTGTCACTAAGATGCTCTAACATCCCCATGACAGAGGAGCTGGGTGGGCAGAGGACAGCATGCAGACAGAGCAGCCTGCGACACTAGAATCTTATGTGCTTCATCCTAGTAATTCATGTGAATGTTGCAGACTGCTTCCTTTGCTTGTTTTAAAATAAAAATAGCTTCCCCCTTCGATCCTTCTGTAAGATTTCATCCTAAGAATACGCCCACATGGTGTGTGGCTGACTGAGTACGGTGTTATTGAGCATTGGCCTGAGAAGCAGTGGAGTCTTCCTTTAAACCGCACACACTGATTAGCTCAGGTCACAGTGGATGAGCCAGGACGGGCTGGCAAGTGTTGGCTGAAGATTTGCCCATAGGAAAATCCTACTGAAGAAACTGCTCTTTCATGTTGATTTATCCTGGCAATGGCTACAGAATCAAAGAACATATGTTACCAGATTTATCTACAAATTAAATTAAACAGGCAATATGACTAAATTTGGACTGAAATTCAAGAGTAAGTCATACAAATCACGGAAAAATGGTGTGGGTACCAACCTCCATTAGAACCTAAGACAGGATGCTCTGCACTGATAATTCCTGCTTTAAGTACATGCATCCTCTTCATATTTGCCTTTGATTTACCAAGCATATAAAATGATGAGATCAGGTGATAAAGATCACCAAAATGGACAAAAATAGTCAATGTCTGTAGGTCACTTTGCACATCCTTCAACTTCCATCAGGCTCCAGGTCTGCTGGGAAAGCTGCAGGAGCTCACACGCTCGGACTCGGTGCCCTAGGGAGCTTCAGGTCGGAGCCAGAGGGGCAGGGACCAAGCTCCTCCTCCCTTCCATGAGACAGCACTTTAAGCAGCGCAGACAGAGAGACTTTAATTAGACTGCATTTTGGAGCACGCATTCACCAGTTATCTATAAAATGAAATATCCTACTAGTTCTCAGTAAGTGAGTAACAGGCTTGACCTTGAGAACAACAAATTCAGGTTCTGGGGTGGATGCAGCTCCCCCCAACAGATGGTTCTTTCTGCAGACCCTCGGGCCTTAGGGTACAGTTTAGAAGGAAACTTGGACCAGAATGTCCTTGATTGTTACTTTATAATTCTACACAGCGCAACACATCTGACCTACTGCATCCACCTGAAAAGGATTTCTTGGAAGAGAACTCTTTGCAAATATTTGATACTCTGAATGTTTGATCTTCAGATTGAACTTAAAATATAATAGTTCTCTTTTATAGGGCAATTCTCTGATCCCTAAAATCAAGGAATATTCCACTGCGAGCTCTCCTTGGCTCTTACATCAAGTTGGGATTTCCAGGCCATTACCACACATGAGAAATAACATGGTTTAATAACCACCCAGGTGACACACCAACCCAACTGCATTTCATACAAATGCTCACTGCAATCCAACGTAGCAACGATGTTTAGTAACAACTGCAGTGCTTCTAACATAAGGATAAGTATGCTTTACCTTACTGATGAGCATTTTGGAACTAACACAGGACTTCTCAGAGCTATCAACTAAAGACAAGTGATTGCCTAAAAGCCTTGCCTTGTTTAGGATTAGCATACACTTTTACTTATAAATGCTTCTGAAAAGTATACATTGTGTTAACACTTTGAGGATTAAAATCAAGCCTAAAATTTATTCTTAACAGATTAAGCTGCAGCGTTTCACACTCCCAGGGCTTTCAGTTTCATAGTTAAGTAACTTGAGCTCTGAAGATTGTTAACAAAGTGCAAGTTCTCTGGGCCGCAAAAACAGAAGTAACATCTGGTCTACCCACAGGTTGGACAGGTTCTCAAGGAGCAGCCCATCAGAAGGGTCAGCTCCCTGGATTAAGGGCCCCTGGGGAGACTGGGTCGTGGGGCACCACACTCACTGGTGTATTAAGCCCTGCTGTTCACAGGGTGTTGGTAAAGGGGACTGAACCCAGGGTTCTTGCACTGAGCTCCATCCTCAGCCTTACTGGGCTTTTTATTTTGAGATAGGCTCTTCCTAAGTCACAGTGGTGCCCAGGCTGGTCTGCTTTGCAGTCGTCTGCCTCAGCCTCCTAGAGTGCAAACCAGCTGACCATGAACTGAAACGGAGCTACATAGACCTGTCTTCTACGTCATGGGGGTCAGGACCAATACATATTTTATCCTAGCAATGGGGAAGCTGGCCAATGGAAGCCCAGTCTATCACTGAACTATGAGAGACAACAGCTCCTCTTATATCCAAAACCCACTCTGGTAGGCGGTCTTGGCATGACGCGGAAAACACTCAACTGCCTCAACAGCATGATTAGCTTAGCTATCAGCACCTATTGGGCGGACGCCTGCTTCAAAACAGACCCAGAGATAAGGCCTCCTTTTGTGCCCTGTGGCACAGACTCCGAGGGAGGCCAAGCACTCACTGGGTGTGTAAGACCCGAGCTGCTTCCTGGAGCCCACTTACAGCTTTCAGACAGGGACCCCTACGCTTACTGAGCTTCTTTCCTTGAAATGAAAAGCAGGATGATATTCCAATTGGATAAGCAAACACATCTTTAAAAATAAATTTTAAAAACCCCTTTGCTAGCAGTACCTCTACTATCCCAAGCTCTTGGTGACCACTACAATCAGAGCATGACCTGGGAGCCAGCCACAGTACACAGTTGCCGTGTGCTGCTACCTAACGTCTACATCTGGAGGTCATCCTCTCTCCCTCATCTGTCTCAAACAAAGCCCTGTTGCTCGCACCGAGACATCATTCCCCATAGTAAGCCATTTTAAGGACAGTTTTCACGTTTACAGAGCATTCATATAAGACACTGTTATCTGGAGAGAGGCCTTATAGTCTCTAAAACCCATTACTACAGAGGACTCTTGGCATCTCTCAGGTAAGGGTCTAGGCAGCCAATCTTTTCTCAGGAGCCAGCAGAGAAGAGGAGGCCTCACTTAGACTGAGAAATGCCTGCTGGAAGCCCCTGTCCTCCACCCTTATGTTAACCAGGCACCAATCCGTCAATCTGTCTCGGAAGCAGGTGGGTCGGACAGGTAGGTCAACTGCACCTGAGCTGCAGATCATTCCTGACTGTCGAAAGGTCTGACAGATGCAGCTGCCCCCTGCTGAACCTATCACGTGTGGTTGACGGGCAGGACCAGACAGCTAGCTCCTCACTCGTTTCACAGGCACTTACTGCATACCTACGAAGCGACACACTGGAATGAGTTCAGGGATACTAAGTCACACGCCCAGCCTCGGAAGACTCATTCTCTGGCTGCTTGTCCATTTCTCCACGCATCGCACTTCCTCTCCAACAAAACAGGCTCACTCAGACACACCTTGTTCACAACAAAGCCCATGCTGCATAGTTTTAGGCAGACTAATTAACCACATCTATAAAAGATAGAGAAGATACCACTTAGCCTAGGAGGCTGTCACAAAGATCAAGTGAGGTAAGCTCCAAAGACACCCCCAGCATGCTACCTGGGCTGGCTGGAGCTCACTTCCTCCTCCTCCTGGGCCTTCTGTTGCAGTCCAGCTCTAGGAAGGGCTTCTGGACACATCCCACACTAGACTAGAAGCCCCATAACAGTAACTGATGGGTCCCTTGAAGGATTCTGGTAAAGGTTGCAGGACTAAATGAGTAATGGATAAACAAGCAGTGGTCTTTGGATTTTTTTTATCCTAGGATTACTTTGCATTAAAATTCAGAGGTGCACTGCAGAAATCAGTATGGAGATACCTCAAAGAACTACGACTGGAAGTCCTATTTGACCCCGCTATTCCACTGCTGGGGATCTTCCCCAAAGAATTAAAAGAATCATAACACAGTGATATATGTGCACCCATGCTCATAGCAGCGCAGTTTGTGATAGCTAAAACTTGGAAGCAGCCCGAATGCCCATCAACTGGAGACTGGATAAAGAAAATGTGTTTTTTTTTTTTATAAAATGGAGTACTACTCAGCCATAAAAAATGAGAAATTAGAGACATTTATAGCTAAGTGGATGCACATTGGGGCGATACTCAAGTGAAATAAATAGGACACACATGTGTAAATACCGAATAGTTTCTCTGGTGTGAGAAACTGAAAGTGTAAATAAGGACTAAAAAAAGGTATAATAGGTAATGCGAAATAGGAAGAAAAGGTCTAAAGGGGTAGGGGTATTGGGAGGGGCAGGGGAAAGGAAAGAAGGGAAAGGAAAAATGATGAGAAATGGAAAAAATGGAAATAAAGTCTTTGTAAATAGGAAAGGGTAGAGGGGGTGAACGGAGGGCTAGGAATGGGGAAAAAATAAGAACCAAGATGCATCATGTAAAGGTACAATTCCCAATGAGAAATGTAATTGTGCTGTATACCTACAATGTACCAATAAAAGAATTTAAGAAAAAAAATAAAATTCAGAGGTGCATCCATTTTCCTACAAATGACTCAAGTTTACAGCATCTCTCTTTGTGGTAGAGCAGTACTCCATTGTGTGTAAACACCACATTTTCTTTATCTGTTTATTTATATTTATCTGTGGTCATATACGCTGCTTCCAAAATTTAGCTACTGTGAATTGTGCTGCTACAAACATGGGTGTGTATGGCCCAGTGTAATGTGATGTCTTTAACTCTTTCAGGAAGAGACTACAGAGTTAAGTGAAATAAATCATGGTTTCTCTAGTATGAGAAACCCAAAGTATAAATAAAGAGCAAAATAAAAGAGAGACAATAAGAAATACAGAGATCTTGCTTAAAGAGAAAGGGGGTCAGGAGACAGCGGGCGTGAAAAGGGATGAAGACGCGCCGTGTACACGCATCAACTCCTCCCGGGAATGGCGGGCTTTGGAGGAATCGCCTCCCTTTTCTGGAGAAGGTGAGAGGCAGAGGGAGACCTGCAAATGGGAAATTCTTCCACTTCCCTGGCTTGCCGGGTTCAGCTGTCAGCAGTAACAGAGCTCCCACAGGTCGCACCGATGAAGGGGTGCTACCACCCTGGGCACCCAGCGTCTCCCCGAGCCCGTTTCTCATATTTAAAAGAAAAGGGCCGATGCACCGGTCTTTGCTGGAATAGTGTCTCTTTTACAGTCTAGCTTTAATGATCAGGCAGACTAAACACGAATTTATCTGCCTGTCCATAAAGTCTCCCAAATGCCATATACACACAGCAATTAATTGGAGAGTAGGAACTAAACATTACAGTGCTGGATTCATAAATGCCTTCATCCCAGGGAGACAGGAAAGAGAGACGCCTTGTTGCTCTTTCATGCTCCGAGCGACCCAGGTGTCCTGTCTTGGTCTGGGGACACCAGAGCTGTGGGCTGGTGGGGAGCCCTGCGTCTCCATCCATTTCCAACATCCAGGGCTTTGTTTGCGCCTGGTGATGGGGATCTGCAGATATAATTGAACATGTACCCAACAGACAAGAGGCTTACAAGGATTTCTGCAAAGTAATCTCAGATTGAAAATAATACCAACAATGCAGCCATAAGCAAATGACTTAAAGTTTTAAAAAAGCCAGGACTAACAGGCTTTCTTTCCTCAGAGTCGGTTCCTTGTCAACATCGTTCTGAAATAAAACCACTGTCCAGCCGGATCTGAGACCCCAGGCCCTGCCCACCAAGGTCCCAAGAAAACCTGGACCCTCCAGGCCCTTCATCACCATGCTCCTCAGAGGGCACGGCATTTGTGGGGTGCTGAGGAACGCCCTCCGTGTGCACACACAGCTGCATGGTCAGCGTTTGCTGACAGGAGCTTGGGACCCGAGAGCTCCACGCCACGGCTGTGCCACGCACAGGGCAAAACACACACAGCCCCGTGGGACCCATGGCACCCAGGCCAACAGCCGTGGGGGGGAAGCCTCGGGGCTTCCACCTCCCATCCAAGAGGGGGCGGAAGTAACACGCCTCTCACAGCTGTTCCTGGACTCGAACAGGGGCACTGGGCACGTGGGGTTTCAGTCCACACTCATTTCTTTTCTCTACTCTTGACAAAAGCATAAGAAAGGGCAAGAATATGGTATAATAATACATCACGCTAATTTTTCTTTTGCAGTACTGGGAACTGAATCAAGGGCCTTTGGCCTTAGCTACATCCCCAGCCCTTTACTTTGAGGCAGGGTCATGCTGAGTCATTAAGTTGCTCAGGCTGGGCTTGAACTTCCGCTCCTCCTGCCTCAGCCTCGCAGACTGCTGGGATTATGGGGCACCAGGAGCACCCTGTTGATGAGGATCTCTTTGCTATTTAAAGTTACATGACTCCCTTCTGCCGGACACATTGTAACACAGTAATACACCTTGGTACAGATGTACCTAAGTTAACCGGGATTTAAGGACTCAATCAGCAACTTATTTAACTTACCACATTAAAGTCTAAATTTTTTTCAATCCATGATTTTGCTTCTTGAAATTCATCTTTCATTCCCATAATAAAAAGTGTATCCAGGGCATCAACTATAGTTGCTCCTTTGATGTTACCTGAAAATACCAGAAAAAATATATATTCAATAAAATACGTGTGTGAAACCAGAGCATACCTCGGGAAGAGAGGGGGTAGTTCTCAGTCGATTAATAAGCAGGGATTGTGAACAGTCTAAAATTCTTTCAACAAAGGGAAATAAAGAACATGCACCAGATTAGACACTAGCATAGGCGATGACCGTTCTCCTCAATGCCTCTTCGAGGTGTAGCTGAGTCCTAGAAATGCCGTCTGTGAGTTCGTTCTCTAGCAGGGAGTCCGAGTGGCAGAGGAAGGGCTCAGCATCTTCCTGGGGTCACACCGGCGGGTGGCCGGGGGGCCGTCTGCCCACGTGGTGCCCTCTCCCGGCAGAGACCGCACTCCCGCGGGTCGGACACAGCCGGGCACCACGCCTTCCTCAGGGCTGCAGCTCTGGGCCCATGCGGGGCTAACCGGGAGGAGTTCAAGCTTCCTGGGCACCCAGCGCCCTGGCAGGGCTCTCCGTCTCCGTCTCCGTCACCGTCACCGGCAGTGGCCGCAGCTCCTCTGCGTCCGGCTTCCCCACTCCTGCACCATGGAAAGCCCTCAACACGGGCCGCAAGCCCCATCTGGCCAGGACAGAGCAGGAGGGAGCCGGGCTGTGATGTGAAGGGGTGCGTGCCGCGATTCTGGACGTTCCCTGTCACTCTCTGGATAAGGCTGGCTGCTGGCACCCGGCAAAGTGGGAGGGGACCTGTGGCCTGGGCGGGACCCACCGGGCCCTGTCCTGGTGCGCGTCCCCCAGATGGTGCCCTCCCCAGGGACACAGTGGCCCTGTCCTGCTCATGCCCAGCCCGACAGGCCAGTGATGCCCGAGACCGGGCACGCAGATGAGGAGCATGGTGGCTGGGCCGGGGCCTTGTTTGCCCCTGGGAATGAACTGGCTTCCTGGCACATGCCCTGTGATCCCTGCACCGAGCAGTTGTCATCAGAAGGCCACAAGGAACAATACCACCTGGTAAGATGCAGAGTAGCTCTGTAGCTCGCCTGCCGACAGTAAGAAAGCACTGCGGACACTCTCATTGCATGGGATCCTTCACTGTAATTCAGTGTTCTCTAAAATATAACTTTGGGGGGCTAGAACTCTGGATTCAGGTCAACACTGAAGGGAATAGTTTAAAGCAGCGTTTTGAAATACGATTTTCAAATATGATACCAGCTTCCTATTTCCCACTCATTAAGAGCTTTACGTAAAAGTTTTCATCTCTTATGTTTTAGCTTCATACTGAACACAGCTACTCAAGAGCCCATGTGGGAGAAGTTTCAAATGACTTCTGGAGCCCACATTACGCCTATAATCCCAGCACTATGGGAGGCTGAGACAGGAAGATCCCCGCAGATTCAAGGCCAGCCTGGGCTAGCTTGTACTATATGGCAAGACCCTGTTTCCAAAATGAAAACAACCCAAAAATATATTATCTCCCTTTGAAATCATGTTTATCTCTGAAATCTGGATTTATAAATCTATCTTTTTGTTTGAAGTAGAATTGTGAGATGGTGCATATTTAAGACAATTTCCTATGTCCGTTAAAACTTCCACAAGTTAATGAAGTAACCAGTTTTCCTCTCCAAGCTCACTGAGAAGGTACAGCCGAGAGGAGGAGGCAGGCCTGGGGGACTCCTTGAGGAAACAGCTGGAAAAACTCCGATTCCTCGTGGCTGACCCGCGCTCTCACTAAGGATCAGCCGGGAGCCCAACCTCACTTTCCTCCTGCTACGCCTGCACCTGGTCTGGGGAAGGACACAGGCTGTCCATAGACAGTCTGAGTGCCGGGCTGCAGAGGCCACCGGGAAGTTCCCTCTGTAAGAAGGAAGATGCTGTATTACTCTGCGTCGCGTCTTGGTGCGCTGGTGGCAGTGTCCTAAGAAAACCCTCATGCAGTCTATCTGCACTGCAAAACAGAGTGAAATAAACACCATTTGATCGTTAATATTTCATTTCCTTAAGCTAACATCCAAAGTCCTTTTTTAAAAGAACAAATTCTTAACTGGATTAGGAAAAGCATTTTTACTGAAAAAGCCAATGAAAATTATAAAATAAGGCAAAGGAGGCTTTAGTACATTTTTAAAGTTATGTCATTAAATTTTGAAGCCATCCATATATTAAGAGAATCACATAATCCATTTGGTAAAATTATGGCCAATTAATACATAACTAATTTCTTAATGGAACAACTTCCACAGAGAAAAAAACAGAAATTTAAAGGTCTCTGGCTGAGCAAGGATCCAACCTTCCTCTCTTTACCAAGGGCCTCTCGCCCTGCATCGGCCGGCTGCTACTTCAGAAGCATCCGCAGGCACTCCGGTGACGGCTCCGGGCTACGCATCTGTGTCTCACACACGTGTGTCACTGTTCGGGCCACGCAGCCTTGGCCTGCTCTCCTGCTCCCCACCCTCGCTGGAGCGCTCTGCAGGCAGAGGCCCTACTGGGCCCGCAGGCCTCCACCGAGTGCCTACGGAGCCGCCTGCCACTGGTCGCTGCCACTCAGGCTGCACAGGCCCCCGCCACTGCATCAACACCAGGGCCAGAGAGGGTCAGAGGCGTGAAGGGCCCAAGGCCAGGGCACACCGGAGCACAGACTGCTGCCCGGCCCTCGAGCGCAGCTCCCCGGGCCCAGCCTCCCCTAGGGGAGCGTGCAGAGCACCGAGGTCCACGAGCCGCGCACACAGCCAATGCTCAGTAGGTGTCAGCTCCAACCACTGTTCTGTGACTCGGTTTTGTTCAGCCCATTCAGTTGAAGTGTGGTAAATTCCACAGCCACGGAAGGAAGACTCGATCACCTTCTGCTGTGAGTCACGGACAAAACAGGTGGAGGCCAGAAAGCAGCCCATGCAGCAGGACTGTTTCAGCTTCTTCACCTGAACAACAGGGGCAGCGCCAGCAGCGCCAACAGCACAGTGCCGGCCGCAGAGGGTGCTGTGTGGACCGGATACTGTACAGCCGGCAAGTGGACGGAGCGGGGTTCAAACGCCCGCCTCACCTTCTCCTCCATGGTGCCAACGGGAGGGATGGCAGCCCTAGCTGTGTGCAGGGGCCCTGGTCAACCTGCCGGGTACCCGGGACCTCCCGGCAGGGACCGCCGCAGGAACTTAAATTCTGGCACCGCACCCACGCCCACCTGGCCTGAAAGCCAGGCCACAGAGATCTCGCCACCAAGTGCCCAGGTTTCCTGGCAACCACCGGGGCTAGACACACACTGCCTCACACTCCTGCCCCCGAGAGCCCAGGCTGAGGAGCGCACGCAGGAGCCAGCTACTCACCGAACAGACTGCTCGAGTGGCCTTCTCTGGAGAGGGGCTTCAGCTCGTTCAGCCCCCAGGCGTAACGCTTGTAATTACTCCAGGCATGTTTCATCATCTGGGGGAGAAATGGAAACCAGGTGAGAACTGGGGCGGGGGTGGTCAGCTACCGACAGACCACGAGCTTGAACTCTAAAGGTTAAGACACGGGAGTTCCTGGGTTCCTCGGGGCTGCTGATGGTGTAAATCAGCTACAGCACCTGTACCTCACGCACTCACAACCACCCTTTTCGGCTTACAAATGGGAAGTTTGCTTTTTTGAGTCTATTTAATCCTATTTAATAAAAATACCATTTTAAAAAGTCAATTCCCAGTAGCAGAAAGTCAGCCTATCCCTAAAGGATGAATCATTCCCACATTCATCTGTTCAAGTCTCTTAACAGATTAGATCTGTAGGATTCTATATTTAAAATTCATACTTTTGTCTGAAGTTCTTTCTACTTTGTTTACCTCATACTATGTAGATAAAAACTCAAAATTCTCACTTTAAGGACTAGTGTTTTCTGATCAAGACTATATGGAGAAGTATTTTGAAATACCAACAGGAAATAAAAAGCACACTATGTGGTTATGCCTAGATTATTTTAATATAACCAATCTGTTTTTTTTTTTTGGTACCGGGATCAAACTCGGATCCTTGCTCTTGCGGGGCAGGCAGCAGAACCACTGAGCTAAATCCCCCGCCCGATATAACCAATCTTTAACTGGACATGTGTGTATGTATGTCTATGTTTTTAAAAGCCAAATTTCTAACCCATAAATTAGTTGTATACAATTTTTTAAGACTCAAAGACCATACATCATTATTTTTGTGTAGATTTTCTTTTAAAAGCATGAGGGACTCGACCGTCTAGAACTGCTTCATGCCACTGCCCTTTGGAAACAATAATCAAAGTGCGGACGTGCTCCTAAAATGTTCTAATCAGGTCCTGTATTTTAAAATGTCTTGGAAAGTATCACACGGTCAGAGATACTGTTCCATGGACGTACTGGAAGTCCTCAGTCAGCTCACGGGAAGCCCTCACCAGTCCCTGAGAGCAGTGTGAGCCTCTGTATCTACACTGTGCCCTGCTCACCACTGCCAGGAAGGGCCCCCTGGTGGGACGCTGCTGGGCCTTTGCTTTTGGTATAGAATTTAGTTTTTGCTACAACCCTGTGGAATATACTTTACCACCATCACTTGGTAGACGAAGAAATGGAGACTGGGAGCCTGAAAACACAATGGGACTGCAGTCCTGACACCATCCACAGCCGAGGAGCCCGCTCCTGCTCCAGAGCCGAGGCTACTCATGAGCGGCCTGGCACAGCCGCCTGCTGTGCGCGTCCAGAAATCAAGACTACTCCCAGGGTCGTGTTTTCAAAGTTTCCTTCTCACACATTACCTAATGGGACAGTGTCATCGATTTAAGGCCAGGTAGCTATCTACAATCCTTTCAGTGTTACTGATCAGTCACACTCAGGAGTGAATCACAGGGTGAGGCTCTTCCCCTATCTGAAAATCTAGAATCAGAATTCCTGAACTCCTCAGCTGTACATTTCCATCAGCAGCGTGTACTGCCTGGTAGATGGCAGGCACTCACGTGTTTATTCCATTTTAAACAGTATATTAAATCAGCTATATTCACATCATAAAGATAGAGGCCAAGGGGGCTCCGAAAGACCAGGTACATGAAACGTACACAAATACCCTTAGATCATATCTGAGTTTTGTCTCTCTTTTCCCACTAAATGTACTATATTTGGTAAACACTTCTGTGCTGTAAATTTCCAAAGATAATTTTAAAAATTTTAAAGCTTTTAGAATACACTTGACATAAAACAGGAAAAACTATTAGACGCTCTATTTCCGTGGTGATTCTGAATGAGAACCGGCACCAGCACTGAGGACTCTAACAGCCTGTGGTTCTCCACGGGGCGAGCTGCTGCCTGCTCCGACCTGCTGTGGTGCTCGACGTGCAGCCCACCCAGTGCCTCCTTCAGCTCCCTCTGTAGTGCACCTTAGCTTTTCTCATCACTCCTCCTCCAGGACAATCACTCTAATAGCTCAGCTTCCTATATTTCAAACACTGCTGTGACATGATTCTCTAAATGGGTCCCTGCTCTCAGGAGAGTCCAGTAAGTTAAAGTTGGACAAGAAGAAGAAATGATGCGCCCAGAACATTCTGAACAGCATGTTGGGGAGGCTTCTCCAGGGCTCTACAGTGAGGACAAACGGCCACCCTGGGACTGGCTGCTGCGGTCACCTCCCAGCATGACCTGCTGGTTAAAGCCGACTGTGAGATGTGTGTGTGGGGGTGTGTGAGTGGGAACATATGCACAGAATAATCATGAGACTGGATTCGCTAGTCATACATAAAATGAACTGAACTCAGACTCAGGACTTACACAAGTATCCAGAAACATCAAACGCTTGGGCTTCTGACCACAGTGCTAAGCCACCAGCCAGCGGGGACCCGGAGAATGAGGCACTCAGTCTCCCCAGGCCCCGTCATAAGAGGTCACTGCCAAGCTCGCCTGGCCACACAGAAACCCACGGACAGGACTGAGGCCTCTCGTGGGCCCCGCGCCTTTGTTCTGCAGCTTCCATGAACTCAGTTAGGGTTCCGCAGCCCGGCACCCCCGGAGGAGTAGAACGGGCCTACACCAGAGGAGGACGAGGACTTCAAACACAGTGCTGAGCCACTCACGAAAGAGAGTAAGTCCAGCAAAGTGAGACGTCTGTGCCGTGTGCTCTCACCTGCGTCGCTGAGAAGCACAGTGACGCTGACACAGTGCGTGGACGGATCAGGCGAGAGCGACACGCTGCACAACAGCAATCGCCTGACCCAGAAAACGGAACCAAGGCATAAGATACGCAGAAACTAGCATCTCCTTCTCCATTCTCAGCTGACGGAGAAGATCCTCTGATTTGTACTTTCTTTTCAACTGACAGCCAGGCCTAGTAATCAGGCAATGTCATTTACTGAGTGTCTCCTACCTGAACAACAAGCTTCACAGGACTAGAAAGGAGGGGAAGGACTCTTTCTCGCTTATAATCTGACAGGCAACGTGTGCACACTTCACACCGTCCTCGATAGCCAGCAAAGTTCATAAATGCAGGAACTTAATCGAATGCTACACACAACTCTGTTGTCCTCACAATCTGTTTTCAAGGTTACGTCCAACCTAACCAAGGACAGTGGAAAGAAACGTGCCTGGTTTTCCTCAGCCTACCTAACTTGTGTGTTTGGGGCTGCTAGGAGCTCTTCTTAGCGAATATTTCTATTTGCTGAGGCATTAGTCATGGATTTTGGGCTTTTCACAACAGGTGCACTAAACTCTTTCTGAAAATCTCCATCTTTGCCAGACAGGTCTTACAAAGACGCTGGGCTTTCACTGCCCCTGCAGGAGCTACAAGCTCAAGTCCCTCCCGTTCACAGCCCCTTCCGGGGGTCTGACCCACAATGACCACAGTTCGTACCACGTAACCGACCCCAGGCCTGGCCCTCAACCCAGAGACCAGCCCTCAAGGCCAGCAGCCTGGTGTGTGGCGTTCACCACAGGGGTGGAGCTGGACGGACCAAGCATCTTCTCCACCCGGGGCAGAGTGCAACCCAGACATTCAGACAGTGTGGAGCGGTGCAGACTCAAGAACACACTCACAGAGCAGGGCCCATCGGGAGTCCCAAGGCTACGGAGAGAGATGGAAACAGGGAAAGGAGACAACAGGAGGTGGGGGCTGCCAGGCGTAGAGGAGCCGAGGTGTCGGTCGCCTGTGTGGTGCCTGGTGACTGTTTGGTCTGCAGAGCGGCCGCAGGACCACAGGCAATGCTGCCGCATCCCGAATGCTGACGCACTGCCTTCCCCTCCAGGGTGGCTCTTGGGCGCTAGGACGGCAGCTCACTGGCCCGGTCCCTACAGAAAACCCTCCTGGCCACACAGCAGCAAGCGTGAGGGCAGACCGGGGGAGGCAGGCCACCAGAGACCTCACCCCCAGGCTGCTAGCCTCCTGGGACCAACCTGCTGCTCCCACCAAGCGTGAGCCAACAAAGCCACCCTGGCTGCGGCGAGGAGCAAGGAAAGTAACGCAGAAAAGCACTTGACACAGCACTTGACACACAGGAAGTGCCCCATGTGTGTGAGGTATTGTAATTATTCTTGCTGAAATCCTAAACTTGTCTTTGACCTTTGCAATCTTGAGTTCCCTAATTTTAACTGGTAACATATACAAACAGGAGGCAAAAACACACAAGCCAGGCAAATCTAGATGGTACACAATCTCTTTATGAATCTATACTTTTAAAGATACTCAGCGATTTGGATCCAAAAGGCAGAAAGAGAGGGCCCTTTTCCAGTCTGAGGCATGTAGGACACTCTAGTGCTAAAAGTTCATCCACCCATCCAAGGCGTGCATGCTCAGCGGATTTGCTCCGACTCCGCCAGCCTCGGCTGATCGGGATAGGTCAGATGCCCAGAGGCAGGGGTGGTGCTGGACAGGGCTGCGGAGGACGCGCCCCACAGCAGGGGTGCCGGAGCTGGGGCAATAAGAAGGAGGTGGAGAGGGATGGGGTGCAGGGCTTGGGAGTGGGGTGCTGCTCAGCGGACACCGGGGTCTCTGGGCCAGAGACCTGGGTCAGAGCAGCTTGGGGCAGAAAGGCCCGAGAAGTGACCTGAGGTCTGTGCCGGGCCAGCCCCAGGCTAGGCCGTGGGGAGAGCAGCCCGAGTCTCCGGCTGTTGGAGCGGGAGCCCTGTGTGATCGCTCTAGGGCCTCGGTTGGGCAATGGTTTGCAAAGTGCCGACAGCAAAAGCCTGACATTAATTTCTACCAAAGTCTGCAGAAATGACTTGTTGTCGAACTTTCAGACATAATTTCAACATAGTCACTGCACCCACCACCTTCCTTCCAGTCTGCAGCAGAACTGGAAAGGCAGGAGGGACCAGGACTCGGGGTCACTTCAGGGAATCGACGTACCCTGCCCTCACTCAGCTGACTGTCTAGGGACAAGAAGCTCCCAGCAGGGACCAGGAGACTGCTGCCAGGCATAAGGCATAGCCAAGCTGTTTTCCCACTTTAAGAGC